AAAAAAAAAAAAAAATAAACATGATTCGCATAAAATTGTTACATTATACTTTTTAAAAATAAAAACCTGTTCCATGCATATGCATATCACTACTCACAGTTATATATATCAGTTTTTACTGAAAACCTTTTATAATGTATTCTTGTTTGTTTTAAAAACCTTACTCTCATCTCCACGTCACCACTACTCGCACTGACAACATTTATACACTTCTCTCAAACACACACGGCGAAAGTTTTTTTTTTTTTTTTCTTTATATACATATATTTTAGTGAGTATTTTTAAGATATTTTTGGTAACTTAAAGAAAAAAACATTTTATTAAGGAAAAATAGCTCTCATTCAACAAATTTTTTAAGATAGTATAGTCATACATACAAAACTTGAATTATTACTGTAGAGAAAATTCTAGTCAATTAATAATGATATGCAATATACAAATAAGCTATGAAAAAATTGTTCATATAAATATAAAAATAAATTTTATTAGTTGTATATACCTAATATGAGTCATAAATATGTAATTAATTTGAATGTGGCTATTCCTTACGGAAAATATCTTATGGTAACACTTTTTTATCCATTTGAGAATGATAAGAATGAAAATTTTAATCAACTCAAGAAGAGAAACTGACGAAAAACAGATAAACACACAGGTAGAACAAAATATAGATAATGTTTATATTATATTTATTTTTTGTGAGTAAAAGTTAAATTATGAAAGTCATTTATTGAGTGTTAAATATTTGTTGTGAGAAAAATTGGAAGTTTAAAAATGCACATTGAACTTTATAATAATAAAGAGTAAGAATCGAAGTAATGTGCTAACTGTAGTGTCAAATATTTGTTGTGAGCAAACTTGGAAGTTTGAAAACACTCATGCACATGGATAAGAATAATGAGTAACAGTCCAAGTAATATCCTAAGTGTGGTTAATAGCTTGGCCAGCCTAGGCATGAGCTGGGGGTTGAGATTGGGCTTGGGCTTGGGCTTTGGCCAAGGCTTGGTTCTTGGTACTTGATTTAGGGGCTCTACTTAGACGATTTGGACGGTCTGAGGATGATATTGGGTTTGGGCATTGGCTAGCTCCTTATAAATTTTTGCTTGGAAAATTGTTTGTACTTTTTTGGCCCAAATAAAGCTCCAGCCTGTGAGACCTGGTGTTGAGACATTTTCTGGACTTACTAAGTGTCTTCAGGAATCGTGTCGTGATAACCATTGGGTTTGATATGTGATTATTTTTTGCTCATTATAACTGCCTTTAGTGGTTGATTATTTGAAATACCCCGTTTGATTATGAATTATTTGAAATTAATTATTTTGTATTATTATTATTATTATTATTATTATTATTATTATTATTATTATTATTATTTTGTGCTAAATGCCTAAATGTTATTAAATGTCTAAATGCATATTATTATTATTAGATAAATGTTATTTGGGTGTATGATTATTATATATTAATAATTATTGTGTATTATATATATATATATATATATATATATAAATATTTATGTTCTGATTTTATTTTAGTTTACCGTTTGATCGATCCAAGCCGAATTATATATTATTTTATTTATCAAAATGAGTATCGAGTTTAGCGGGATATTTAATCGAAAGCCAAGCGCCGAGAATCAGGACCGCCCGGAACTAAATCGCACGCCGTACTCGAAATTTTGTTCGGCCCGAGGCGCTCGCGCATGCATGCTAGTGCATTTGAAATTTAAGTCTCAAATTTTTGTAACATCATTTCCCATTTAAATTAGCCAATTTAAATCCTAATTAAGGCTTGCTTTGACTCATTAATTAAGCTTTATTGACCCTTAATTAGTCTTGCCCCCATTAATCTCTCTCTCTTAATATCTCTCTCCCCAACGCCCAATTACAGCAGATTTTTCATCTCCTCCCGCACGACCGTCGCGACCTTCCCTCTCTCGATCATCATCATCAACACCCACTCATCTCTCTTCTCTCGTCCTTTTGATCGCTGCGCGTATAGAAACGAAGAGAACTCTCTCTCTCAATCTCTCTCTCTCTCTCTCTCTCTCTCTCTCTCTCTCTCTCTCTCTCTCTCTCTCTCTCCCCTTCCCCTCCCGTTACCCTAATTCCGGTCACCACCATCGTTGCCATCTAGACCGCTGCCCCTGTTTCACTGCTCGCGAGATCATCGGCGGGTCGAGCACCACTAGCGGCGAGAACGAACCAACCAGCGGCGAAGGCAACCTATCCCGGCGAGGCGAGTTCTGCCGCACTTGAGCAGACCCAAAAGCCCAGCCTTTCCAGCCGGCGCTCCTCCAACAGCGGGCATCGCGTGAAGAACAACAGATTCCGGCGAACCTCCCCAGCCGCGCGCCTCGTTTTTAGCAGAACCCACCGTGAACCAGCAGACCAACGTGCTCCTCCTCGTCGATTCCGTTCGCTGCTCGTATAGCCTTCCGCCAGACCGCCGTGAGTCACCCTCGTAAGTCCTAGTGTATCTTTGTTGTTCGTGGCTTTCTCCTACCAGAGAATTCGCTGTGTTCAGTCGCTGCTGTCCCGTGAAACTCCTCCGCGAGACGAAGCTTCGCCGTCGAGCCCCATCGTTCCCTTTTTCCGAGTTTTTTTTCGAGAGCGGTACCCGGGCTAACCCTAGATTTATTTATTCCGTTCTTATATGTGTTAGTTGCTCTTGGATATCAAAGTGATTGCCGTCACTTTGAAAAAAATTGTCGTACTGTGCTTAATGTGTTAATTCCCGTGAAAGTGCTGTGGATTATTGGACTTAGGAATCTCCTTGACGCAACGGCTTTGGCCTTATGTCGTTTCATTGTGTATATTGTAAGTTATGCATTTTTTAAAATCGTGCTGCAACCCGTTTTTGCTAAAATCACTATAATTCGTATATCGCTCCAAAAATTTTGATTTTTGGATATGTTGTAATGTTGTTATCGTAGTACTTGTGTTTAAAATATGAGATTTTTATATGGCCTGTAGCCTTGTCAAAACTCGAAAACAATTTCGGAGCTGTTTCTTAATAAAATCATATAAAATCCAGTTTCTGTCTAAATGGCTAATTTTTGGATATGTTGCTTTTCTTTATGTTCTCTTGTTGCTGTAAAAATTTCAAAGTCGAATTTGAACTGTAGCTATTTTAATTAATTTAAATTGTTTTCTGGTCAGTTTTTGCTTGAATTATTTAAAATGTTAGGAGCATGTCTAGGGGTTTTCCTTTGGTGAAGATGTGTGATTTTTGGCCATTTATATGCTGCATAAATTTGAATTTGAAAATCCAAGCCTAACCCCTTATGGTCCCATTCTTATGATTTTGAACTAGACATTTTTAACTATTTTTGGCCTTGTTGGCAATTGCTTGACTCGATGACTCTGTTTCTGTGTCAAACCTTCATTACCTACCTTTATATGATTTATTAGTTGGTTGGTCGAGTCTAGAAGTCGTCCTAATGTTCCAACTCCACAACTTCCACGAGTTTCTTAGTCGATGTGATTCGACTAAGTATAATTCTCGTCATCTGTGTAAGAGTCGAGATAGTTGCTTATGGGACTGTCTTGACTTATGTAGGTGTCTGACGAGCAGTGTCTCAACCACCTATGACTTTCCGGTTAATTGCTTTATCATTGGACACCAGATGGGTTTTGAAAAATTGTCTATGATGTAAATGTTATTACTGTTATTATTGTTTACTTGTGGTATGATCAAAGTATGCATGCGAAACATGTAGCCTTCGATGTGAGCTATACCGGCCGTCGAACGGTTATCCCCGTAGCTATAGAACGTACCCGATGGGTAGTCTCCTTTATTATTGTTGGCAGTCAGGGTGTGAGCCTTGGCTGGTGATCCCCGTGTAAGGCCAAGGGGGGCCATCGGGGTGGATTTAATCCTACTGGCCGAGCACTCGATGTGAGGCCAAGGGCCATTCGATATATAGCCGACAGTAGTCTATTGATAT